GAGTGTGTGTGTGTGTGTGTGTGTGTGTGTGTGTGTGTGTGTGCGCGCGTGTGTGTGCGCGTGAGAGTGAGTGAGTGAGTGAGTGAGAGCTTGTGTGTGTGCGTGTGTGTGAGTGAGTGAGTGTGCGTGTGAGAGTGAGTGAGTGAGTGCGAGTGCGTATGTGAGCGAGTGTGCGAGTGAGTGAGTGAGTGTGCGTGCGAGTGAGCGAGTGTGCGAGTGTGTGTTGTACCAGCTCTCTCCTCTTGCTGTGCTCCGTGGCTTCATCTGTGAGCTGAGCAAACACCTCTGTCAGGAACTTCTCATCCTCCTGAAACACACACAGCATTACTGAGCTGATCAGACAGTTTACCTGTGATTACAGAGTGCCTGATTTGATGCAGACTTAACAGAGTGTCAGTACTGCATCTGATCGTGTCTGAATGATCATGGAAGGTAAAATAATGATCACAACTATTACATCATTTTAATTCTGCATCCCGTGCCAGTAAAACACAGCCCAAAGTAGCACAATGACCATGTCCCGAACATCAAAATATGTAATTTCCATCCCTAAAATACATATTTTACAGTCACTGTAATGCACATTGACCATAAACACAGCTCAAAGCAGGGCTCCAGACTGCGACCAAATGGTGGCATTTTGTGACCATTTTTTCTGCCGGTGCGACTAATTTTTGTGAGCGGTCGACTGGCGCGACCACCGCGTTGTCCAACTCATAAGCGCTGCCATTTCTGTAGCATATGAGAAACATCAAACGGCAAACGAAACGAAAGCTAAACTAAACTGCGCTATGTTTCAATTGCGCAGCGCGGACCGTTTATCAGCTCGGACCGTGACGCAAACAAACTTGTCTAAGCTCAGAACGGCTTTACTCGGGGAGCCAATGTTGGTTTCGCGACACTGTAACTGCACAGATGCACAGTGCTGCAAGATCTAGTGAGAATCATTCAAATTCTGCACAGAATTCTCTGTTATAAACAGCGCTGACACACCTCAGGAAACCAGAAGCGGTAACGCTAACTGTAACCGTGGTGTTGTGGTAGAAATAGTCGAATGCATTGCATCGTTCATTTCAGCGTTTGTACAACCTTCTGAGAGAGTAATTCAAGCACTTTTCAATGACATTCAAGCATTTCACACAACTATTTCCAGCACTTTAAAGCTCTAAACTGATCCAGTATGAATGTTATTTTTAATGGGATGACCAAAATATACTTTGTGATGAACAAACACTTTTGTAAAATAAAATAAAAAACACATCAAATCACAATTATAACCAGTAGACGGCAGCACACTCTAAAAAATGCTGGGTTGTTTCAACCAACTTTGGGTCAAATATGGACTAACCCAACCGTTGGGTTAAATTTTTACATTACATTTTTAACCCAAAAGTTGGGTTAGTCCATATTTGACCCAAAGTTGGTTGAAACAACCCAGCATTTTTTAGACTGGAGGAGCACTTATTGGCTTATTAGTCATTCATTTCTACTTTTTTCCCCTATATTTTGAAATTAATAAATCACTATTATAAAATATCAAATCATCAACAAATCAGATTTTGTCAGATTTTTAAACTTTTGAAGTAAGAAAAGTCACAAAGTGCCTTGAAAAACAAACTTTTCTTCAATTTGCTACTAAATCACACAATCACTGAAGTTGGTCAGTTCCATATACTAGAAGACTACTGGTACATTTAATAAGAGTGGAATATATAAATTTTCTATATAAAAATTAGATTTTGCACTTGTAACTGTTGTTAATAAAAGTACATTTTGTATGCATCTTAACTCAAGTTTAGTGTTTTACTGTCAAATCTGTATAAACAATAAACAAAAGAAAAATAAACAAGAAATGAACGTAATATTATTAGTAACTGCACTTATTAATGCAAAACAATAGTAATTTTATGATTAAATGACCTCTATTTTAATACTCCCGCACACCACCCCCAGCGCCACCATCTGCAGAACTTAGTGGCGCTGGTGCCTCTGCTCTCAAATGCTAGTCTGGAGCCCTGTAAAAATAAAAATAATAAAAATGCGGATTTGACAATCCTGCATCCAACACAAGCTGCAGGAGTCAGATTTGACTGATCACGGGTCAAAAGTAGTGGTCGACCCATATATCGCCCGATATTTAGCATTTTTTAAATATCGGCATCGGCCAATAAGTTTTCCTGTTTGGCCGATGCGTTCGAGGCGGGACTTTTATTTTGACGGCGCTGAGAACGGCAGTGCTCACATTCTCCCTCGTTCGCTGTCGGCGTTAACAGTTCTGTCTAAATACGGATAGAAGTCTGTCCAATAATCAGATAGAACAGTTAAACAAAGGAATTAAAATGTATACCAAAAGTCTTATAACGATTGCTTTTATAGTATTAGTAATAGAAAGGCAAACAT